TTTAAAACCCAAAATTATGAACTTTTTGGTCAACATCGCTGAACAAAGCCTCTCACAATGGATACAGAAGAGCGCCTTCATATCAATCCGTAAAGCTAATGCAAAATTCTGATACCACTATTCGTGCGTCAAGGCAGTCATTTTGCATACCCGGCCATTTGAAGGCGAATCATTGACTGGCGGCAACGGGGAACAAATTACAGCAATGTCATTCGATATTCTTGAGGAGAAAATACTCCGGAGGTGACCCACCTGCAACTCAACCCTCCCGGTACTCTTTCAATGTTTCATTCAAGTCAGTGCAAGGATCCAAAATGGCATCAGAGTGCTTACAATTTTTCGAATGTGCTACAAAGATATCTCCCAGGTATAATTAGTTACATACAGGCATAGGATATGAGTATCTGTTGTACCTCAGTTTCGGTATCGCAATGTGCTGAACATGATTTGTAGAGAATATTCATACCTAAGAGATGTCTCCAAAGTAAGAATAAAAAGCTAAATGCATTTTTTCATTTTAGATCCTTGTAGTAAAGTAATAAGCACAATAAAACGAGCCTTTCATCATGAAATTTTCGACTGAAACTGCAAATATTGATGTTGATTTTTCACAGTATTAATTGCATGGGGTGCTACGGTCCGTACTAACATCGATAATAGCTTTTAATGTTTCCAAATTTTGTCCTACTTCTCGCATGGACTCGATGCACTGAGCGCCGCTGGTGAGGCGGTTAGTGTCTGAAGTCGAAACGCCTTCTCTCCCGTGCTTATGCAACACGCATACCCATGGAGCCCGAATAGTTGCATTCACGCGTGCGTCATAATTGGACTATTTCTGCCAAACTGAACTATGTGCATTATGACGTGAGCCCTGTTATGCATGTATTCCTATGGGTCTCAGGGCTCATGTCCTAAGGCACATAGTTCCGTTTGGCAGAAATACGTCCATGTAAATCAATATGCCTCGCGGGAGACACTTACTGAAGCTTTGATTGATTCTGTTTCACCGTAACTTAATTCCAGCGTTGCTTAATGTACCGATAAAGTAAACCATAACTGATTTTTACTGCGACATTGTCAATTTTCCCAGAAATGCATTATTTAAATATATTACAACGCTGCCGGCCCTTGAGATTGCAAAAAAAAATAGGTATCTAAGCACAATATGCAGGGTTTCCTTGAACCTACTTTAGTGAGTCGCCCTTTGTTTTCATTTGTATTTCCTTCAGAAAAAGAAACTCGTTTAATTGCAAAACTTTCAGAAAACAATGCTGATAAATCGCACGGAATTTGGAACAAAAACGATGACCATTCGTCTTTCGAAATAATGAAATATGACTGGAAATCTGTGACATCACAAGCCACAATACACCTCTATGATTTCGAAAATGCAATGTCGAAACTATACTACAAATTAAGTCCGGTAAATATATAGTTAGTGAAAATTATATGATGTTCGGCTTTTTCCTTTCGAAAATGTGGGCTGCGTCCACTTATTTGTTAACTTCTATACCACTGCCTAGAGTCATTATAGGATTTTTCAGATCCCAGCCATTCTGACCGAAATTTTTCTCTTTTTTGTTGCAGGTATGAGAAAAATTTCACCCGTAACGCATTCACTTTGGAGGTTTGTACGTAAAATTTTTGTTATAGATAGAATTTTTCGTTCTGTTTCCTTCCTATTGATGTATTTATTGTAACTGGTGTAGCTGACTTCAGATTCAGAGAAAATTGGTTAATGTTTATCGGCAAAAAGAAAAGAGTGTGCATACATTTTTGAGTCTGCTTTCGAGGAAACTGACGGTGTGTAAAATTTTTCGTGTTGTTATAAATTCTTCCCAGAGCAAGTAATTTGACGATGCAAATGATTAAAATCTAGCAATTCAGATTTTTAGGACTCAGCGTCCTATCATTTTTTTCTCTCTTTCAATATACATATGTGAGCATCATACTTTAAACATTTTAAGTATTCACAAACTTTTAATTATTGACACAATTTTAAGTATTGCCACAAAAAGTCGATAATTTTTGGATACTAATAATTATAGCCCTGCATGAAGAGTGGTATGAGTCGTAAATGAGGGAAAATCATGAATGTAGTGTCTCATGGTGGTAAATTCAAAGATCTTGGGCGTTTAAGGGAAAACGGCAGTTGTCAAGAGAAGACATATCAATGGAGAAATCTTATCGAAAAAAGTTCTCGGTACTTTTACAGTTCTACTATATGTTTTTCACCTGCGTACTTAAAAAATAAGCAATTTAGGCTCTATGCATTTCCGATTTTTCTCCCTCATTCAACAACGTGTTCAAATCAGATTGCACTGCAGATTGAAGTAAGTTTTGTATACCTGTAATAAAGCTCCCATGTCATGACTCATTCCTAAATGCAGACATGAATCATAAGCGTGCGTTTTACAGTTAAAGTTTATGTCACATGTTTGGAGTTCATTTTAGCCTCTCATGGGAAATTAGTAGATTTGCTTCCAATATTTTGTAATACGTGTGTTTTGTTTCCTTGTTCTCAAACGCATCCATTGATAAACAGTTAGAGCTCGACGTTCCGGCCTAATTCAATATTTGTTGTCAATCTGTAACCTCAGAATGCAATCACGCACCAATGATCCATCAAGTCATGCAAGCAGATATGTTTCCCTGTGATTTCTTACTTCTATGTCGAAAATACTCTCAATAATTCTTGATGATTTATTTTAGTATATCAATGAAAACTTCCTCAAAGCTTTCTGTTAGTGAAGCACACTTTCCCATTCTCTGTGACAGTCGCACTCATAACATGCATTTTAAAGTTCAACATAATTAATAATTTTTTTTCGACAGACGACAGGTCATAATCTTTAGATGATGTCTACACTGAAAAAAAAAGGATTGCTAATTCACCAATTTAGGGTAGAGCAAAATTTGCCTCACTTCGTAAAGCTTTCTTATCCGTGCACGGTGTTGAATCAAGTGAACGACTAGCACGAATTGCTACACCGATTTGCTACATCTGCGCGCCTTCATGCAGTTAATCTTGCATCGAGTGGCTTGGAAAGGTAACTGCATTTTTTGGTATTGGTACTTTGCGAACAGTAAAAATAGCTCAATAGTTAGGCTGAAATAGCGGAATTTACGGAAAAATCGCGAAATTTACGGAAGAATAACTAAAAAGGTAACAGACGTAGCTTTTCAGAGAGCAAAATCACCTACACGCGTGTGTGTAAGTTAGCTGAAATTTGTGTAGCGATTTTACCTGCATGGTCTGCTCGTTCTCTTTTAGCTACACCATGCCATTAAATACCCGCGTGCACGGCAATTTCAGCAATATTTTTTTTTTTCAGTGTAATTTTGAGGTCATTAAATTTTCAAATTGTGACTCTGGTCTCATATTGCCATAAAGCGTACCTCTAATCGGAGCACTTGCGAAGGGTGAGTCATGTGGCGACTTGTCAGTAAATTCCTGGAAAGGGTAACGAATTAGTCTGCAACTGAGATGGTAGGCAGCAGAGGATTCTCAGGAGCCACAATAGCTGTATTTGTATACAAAAGTGGAAAGTTTTCGAATGAAAGCCTAGCTCCCCAGGAAGCTGAACCATTTGCCCTCAACTGATAAGATAGGCAAAAAAGGGTGCTTAAGAGCCGCAATAGTTGTATCAGTATTTATAGGTACATTAAACGAAAGAGGAAAGTCTCCGAGCGTTAGCCTAGTTTCCCGGGAAAGCCATCGCGTTAGCCTTCAACTGGGAAGATAGGCAAAAGGGGGTATTTACGAGCCGCAATAGTTGTATTTGTATATTAGACGAATTTAAATGAAAAGATGACGACGGGTCGCGGTAATGAACTCGTTCTCTACCGTATTTCTCAAAAATTAACATTCTTGATTTCAAAGAGGGCCCATGAAGGCAAGGAAAGATTTCCTCGAATCGTCCTGAAACTGAATTGACGACATCGTTTCATACAGGTAAAACACCGTAGGCAGGCATACTCGTCTGAGCATTTTGACTTCGCACTGACCACAATGGTAGTGCGTCTTTGATTACACGAAGGAACGTAAGTACACTTCAATGTTGCAAAATTTCCACCGGCAGTGTGTACCTCGGAGACTGCCTATTTTTTCTTTCTTTTTTGGACCCTCTAATAAAAACAACGAAATATTGGCTAAATAATTGCAAAATTAATTATACTCCTGTTAAAAAAATCGATCGCTGTATAAAAATCGCTGAATAAAAGTTGAATTTTTTAAATGATAGTTTTAGAAATACCGTCGGAGAAATGAGGATTATACATTTTGGATCTTGCATATTTTATATAAATAGAGAGAGTTACGTAATGATGGCGCTGGCCCTACCTCCCCACTTGTAACGCAGCGTAACCCAGGCTCCACCCCCTCCCCCTGGAGCATTATGTAATTTAGGAACACTCGCATCGTTATTATTCCGATCGAAACGAATCTTAAAGCAGACTAACTCAGCCTGACGTGAATCATTGCGACCCGCGTTTAATAGGGCCCCTCGTATTTATTTAATGAGTTAAGCGAGTAAAAAATCAAGTAGGATTTAGGATATGGAGTTCTCAAAACTCAAGAACCATGAAACGAAGACGAAGAAGCCTCCCTCGGGTGCAAAATCACGAGTCAAGTGTTGAGCAATCGTAAGTCGAGTTGGGAACACTCAACTCGGCCCATTCCGGTGAATCCAGGCGGAATCCTTCGAGCCTTTTTTTCAGCGAGGTGCGGGGGTTGCATTCTGACCGCGGTTAAACGTTGCAACAGCCCTATTGTCTCGTCCCCATTAAAAACGATGCCATTAATATGCTATGTAAGTCAATTGAAGGCTTAGAGAGTGCGCGGGGAGGGGATGTCCTGCGAAGGGGGGGAGGGGTCGGGTGGGGGCGCAAGGGGGGGGGGGCGCTTGAACCCGGCGACGACGCGTGCCCAACGCCCAACGCCCCACGCCCGCCGACCCAAGCGCCGCGAGCAACGTGCTCAGTTTGGGTTGAAACTCGCTTCAACACAGTTCCGCATTTTAAACCGGCAACCTTTTTTAGATTTTTGATAAGTTTGTTAAGTGTTTAAGAAGAATTATTTTCGATTTTGTTTCCGTTGTCCCCTCTCTCACTCCCCCCGAATTTGTTTTGGTGTTTTTTTCTCGCTGGTTTTGGTGTCTGCCCCTCCCCCGTCGTGGTGTTTGGTGTTCTGTTCGGCTCCACGTTTTCCCGCGGTTTCGCATCGTACTCATAACAGTGTCCCGAGTTGAATTTTTTCGAGTTTAAATTTGGTTTTCTCTGTTGTTGCCCGACGACCGGCCTGGAAGTCGCGGTTCATGTTGTTACGCTGTTGAAGTTCGCTAAGATATTATTTTCTCGACTCGTTCAGGTGTTCAGAGTGTAATTTTTTTTATTTGTTGGAAAGTTGTACGGGTCTCCTCCAAAAAAGATTTACAGGTCAATATCTTTTTCATATTTTGCTGAAGCAGGGCGAATTTCAAATTGAGGTGCGGAACTATTAAGGTTCTGCCTCCTCTACTACAACCGCAGATTTGGCCGGCAGATTGGACAGAGACAATTATCATCGATGCCATGGAACTTAATTCATAAACACCTCGCGAGGCGAATCCGAAAAAAAACTCATCAGGACATCGAAAAACTGCGATTCGATATCACCGAATCACCTAAATCGAGGGTTTTGGACCCGAATGAAAAGCAAGGGGTTAAGTCTAGTTCCGGACCTCAAAATGCAATTCGCCTCTACTTCCATAAAATTCTCTCACATTTATCCTACCTATTTTCAAAGCATGTTAGTTTTACTCTGTATGAGTGTGGTTACGTAAAAATGCTTCGTTGGGTAGGATTTGAGGATTGATTCGGGTTTATTATAAAAAACAAAGTTTGATTTAAGTGCGGCGTTACGAAATTCTCTTTCTTTTTTCGTTAATATTTACAGTGTTATTCGAAATTAATACCTCTTGTTTCAACCCCTGACCGCGCTGAAAACATTCCTCTATTCACGTACCTCTTGGAAACGAAGGCTGATGCAATGACGTAACGTTAATCGCTAGGGAACGGACGTTTTCGGCATTGAAAATCTCATTTTATCATTGGACTGGACAGATTCAACCGGAGTCAGCCCAACTAGATTTCACGTTGCCCAGTTTTCAGAAATTAAACACCATTTTTCTGATTGATTCCCTGAATCGCCCTCAGGTTAAGAAATATTTTACGCTGGAATTTCGCTCGGTTCTTTGTTTTTAAAAAAATAAAAATGAGAAAACAGCAGGCAACAACGGACGCAGTTGGGCTGATTTTGGTAAAATCTATCCGGCTAACGATTTTAAGTACATATTGTCTGATTCTATAAAGTTTGAAGGAAACATGAAGATTTTCAACAGATGCATTCTTACTTCATTTTATTTTTCATAGTGAATAGGTATATCCATAGAGTCTTCAAGATACACGACAAAAAAATCAATTTTGTTGTGTGTGTAAAACACATTCCTTCACTTGTAAACGCAGGGATATCTTCGATTTATTTAGACTGATAGGAAGGGTTTCTAATACCTTGGAAAGCAGATTTTAAAAACTGAAGCAATCGATGATTTGCCGACATGTTTTGTTTTACAACGAAAAAATAACTTTGGATCCGCAAGCCATAATTATGGGCGATATAGACTTACTGCGTAGGGTTTCTGTAATTTTGTGAGCGTAATATTACAGCTTTAAGGAGCGGAACAGTCTCTAGCGATTCTCATTATTTATTATCATTTTGTTTCGATGTAGGTAATTGTTGGTAAATGTTCTAGAGAAGAGACAGTGCACACCGGTAAATTGATTTTTGTTTAGTTGAGTCGGAAAATGGAATTTTGCATTTTTGACGGGAAACCCTCTCTAGAAGTCCAGAGACTAAGTCGTGAGAGTTTAATTCCTCTTTTTACCTAAAATTCATTTCAATGGGAAATAAATTTGCCATTTTCTCGACAAAGGAGCGTAAGTCCACACCAAGGTTACGCAGCTGATCAATACAACTCATCTTTTTAACAAGAACACGATTGCTTAATATCTGCTCCAAGTTTTTCTGATTTTTGCGCGTAGCCTAAGAAAAATCAGAGAAATTTTCAGGTAGAAATGGCATACAGTGTCGTAGTAAAAATACCACTTGTAACTGGATATTTTGCCGTGTAAAAATTTAGTTCCGTCCTCTCGAGTAGGAAACGAAAAATTTTGAGCGCCAAATATGGAAGATTCAAATTTTTCCTAGTTGCCTCAAATTTTCGTTTTTTGAACCAATGAATTCCGGTTCTTTTTGTCGTGTTTGGACTTATGTCCCAAGGCGTTCGTTAAATCGTATACACACCGAAAAAAAGTGAAGTTTATACAACATTCTGGATGTAAAAAAAGTGTGCGAGAACTCACAAAAAGCTAAATTACCCGCTACGGCAGTTAGTTTTACATCTTGACATTGCTAAAATTACTACTGTGGAAGTTAACTCAGCATTTTTTAAGTTTTCGCAAACTTTTTTTTCATCCAGAATGTTACATCAACTTCCCTTTTTTTCAGTGTTTGCAAAGAAACTAACATTTTCGGCTCTTTGTAGAAACAACTTAAGGATCATAAGATTCCCAATTCTGATAGGTGCTTTTCGGAATGAGTCAGAAATCCCAATTGCAATAGCAGCTCCTAATGAGTCTGGTGCACGCAAGAGATACAGCCAACTGAATACACTTTCTACGATTAAATTCACACAAAAATCACGTTGGGCACATCAAAAAAGTCTGAAATCTACTCGTTAGCGCTGCCATGCTAAGGAAGAACGCCGTATAAGCCTTCAGACGTTGCCAAGTTTCCTTCGATAAAATTTCGAGGCTCGGGAGCTTTTCTGACCAGAAAATCTCACTCAGTGGCGTGCATTCAGCGGCGTGCTGCCAGCGCGAAACGCGCGCTGACGCCTACAAACCCAACAGGGATACTTCACGCATTGCGCAATGCGTGAAGTATCCCTGTTAGGTTTGTAGGCGCATTGCGCATGCAAAGCCGGTTGCCCGTAGGCCGCGGACGGGGACTGCCACGTCGCTTCAAGCAACTATTTAATTTAATTTAAGCTGCTAATTCATTTAAGCAGGGATATTATGAGAAATTCAAGGCACTCGAAAGTATCAAGAATGACAGGCATCCTTTAAGAAAACAGTGCTATTTTTGACGTGCTCAACGTGATATTCATGTGATTTTACCCAAAGTACATTTATTTGGCTGTATCTCTTGCGTGCAACAGAACCATTGCAAAATGAAGTCCAAGCAATCATCTAACCGATTCGCTGGTACCAAAACTTTGCGAGGTCCACAGTTTCCCCAGATAAGACAAGAATATGTACGCAATATTAGGTCACCATACTCGCAGAATTCTTAAAATCCCCTCTATATTGAGCCCGCGCTAAGATAGTAACATTTTTTCACAATGGTAATATTTAAATAATTTTAAAGAGCACCCTTTTAATAATTTTTAAATATTGAGACATTCTAAGTCTAGAAAGTCTTGCTGCGTGATTAAAATAGTGTATTCTCAATATTTTGTATGCATTTTTTTAAAATTCTGAATTTTAATCCTTAGTCAAGATTTAACCAACAAAATTTAGAAACCATTTTTTGTTGACCTTATTTTTTTTTAAAAAAAAATATTCACACATTGCTGTATCACAAAATGTTCAACATGAATGAATTTGTACATTTTCTTGATAAATATTAAACCCGGAAAGATCGGCAATGATATTGACAATATCAATCACATAATTTATTTCTCTACTTCAGGCTCAGGTTGACGGATACATTTCTGTTAGAATAGGGTCGTTTCCTCAGAGTCAAAGTTGGTAGTTAAAAAAGGAGTGAAGCATACGACTACGGGTCGAAGTGAATGACCCGGACAGTAGTGAAATATACTACGCTCGAGAGAACCATGAACGCATGAAGAGAGTGTGTCGCTGGAGTGGCAACGGACTGGCCTCTTAACAGCGGGCTGATTATTGAAATTGATCGACAAAGCTGTGGACAAAGGAGACAAAAGAGGTATGGAGAGATCCTATTGGTGAAAGCGGGTGGTTGCTATGGGCAAAGGAGACCAACGTGGATGGTAATAGACTACCTAACGTCAACTCACGAGAAACCCGACCGTTAGTCTATCATTTTCTCCGTTTGTCATTAGGAACCACCCATTTCAACCAATAGGATCGCTCCATACTCCCTATGTCTTCTTTGTCTATAGCTTTGTCCATCAATTTCAATAATCAGTCCGCAGTACAGAAAGAGTTCGCCTCCAGCAATGTTACATTGTTACAGCGAGTGATTTGAAGTGCACGTTATTTTTTAATTTATACTAAATAGATAATATGAACTACAGGAGTGGAATCGAAATGAATTCGTAGATTTTCAACATTTTAAGTTCAACTCCTATTTTCACAACCTAAATATTTACTCTCTGTTGGAAACGATTCCCTCTTAAAACGGATGGCATCCTTAAAATGCTTGTGATAAAACCGCAACCTTGTCCGACTCCTGCCTTGTTGTGGTGTTGTGCTTCCCGCAATTCCTCTCAGCCCCAGGATCCGGGACCGAATTCCGGACTGGTTTGTCAAATTCCTTCAGCCCTTCAGCCACATTATCACTCGCTACAGGGCGCAGAAATTTTTGCTTTAACCAATTCACTCGCCGTAAAAAATTTGCCAAAAATACAGCGATGCCAATTTTTTGGTTCGAATTTAGTTTGCGAGGTCACCATCAGTGGCTGTTCCAGGGTTGCGTGATGGCTGATGGCATAGCAGAGTCTATCCTCTGATTCTTGAAATTTATAGACAAAGCGATAGACAAAAAGGACATAATGAATATGGAGCGATCCTATTGGGTAATTTGGGTGGTTCTCAAAGACCAAAGGAGAAAATGATGGACTGACTAAAGGGTCTCCTGTGAGTTGCCGTTACTTAGTCTATTACTTACCTCCTTTGTCCATTGCAACCACTCGCCTCCACCGATAGGATCCATCCATATCTTTTTTGTCTTCTTTGTCTATCAATTTCAAAAATCAGCCTGCTGGCTTCAATGCAGTCTAACTCAAATCCTCCAGAGAGCGTTCGATGGCTAGTGACAATATATTTCAGGGAAGCCACCTTAGTAAGAATTTGAGGAATTTAATTACAGTGAGACAAAAATTAACTATGAGGGTCGTCGCTATTTTTCGTCTAATGGACGCATTTATGATGAAAGGAACTATTTCACACGCTAACCCTATGCACATAGTTCCTTTTAGCATAAATACGTCCTAATGATGGTTGATGAGCAACTTTTGGAGCAAAACTTCAAATAATATTCGCCTGATGATGAACGATTAATGTCAGGCTGAGGAGTTTGTTCTGTGAGGTTTTGGTAATTGGACGTATTTATGCTAAAAGGAACTATGTGTACG